GTTGCCTTATTTGGGGCATATTATTACAGACCAGAGTCTTCTTCCGAATCCTGACAAAGTTTCAACAATACAAGCGGCGAAAAAGCCAGAGAACGTGAACGAATTGAAAGCTTATTTGGGACTTCTTAATTATTATAATAAGTTTCTTCCAAACCTGTCCATGACTCTAAATCTCTTGTATGGGTTGTTAAAGAAAAACGCTAGATTTGAATGGAATGCTGCTTGTGATAAATCGTCTGAGGAGTCCAAAAGGAAATTGCTAACGGCAGACATACTCACCTTCTATAATCCGGAACAACCTATTGTTGTCAGTACAGACGCATCATCATATGGTTTGGGTGGAGTAATTTCACATATAATAAAGGGAGTAGAGAAGCCTATTTGGTTCACTTCGTTCTCTTTAAATAACGCACAAAAGGTCTACCCGATATTGCACTTAGAAGCATTGGCAGTCGTTTCTACGGTAAAAAAAATTTCATAAATATTTGTATGGTCAAAAATTTATTATCTACACGGATCATAAGCCACTATTGGGCATCCTAGGTAAGCCAGGCCGCAATTCAATTTTTGTCACTAGATTACAAAGATATATTATGGACTTGACTATATACGATTATGATATTGTATACAGACCTGCCGAAAAGCAAGGAAATGCAGATTTTTGTTCTCGTTTTCCACTGAAGGAGGAATATGTTTTTGATACTGCATGTGATCACGTAAAATCTTTGAATTTATCTGGTGAATTTCCTTTGGATTACTCACTAGTGGCTCAGGAGACCAATAAAGATGCATTTTTACAACAAATACGTTTATACATAAAAAATGGATGGCCAAAAAGAATGCAAAGATGTTTTAGAAACGTTTATTCTCAAAATCAAGACTTGGAAGAAATACAAGGATGTTTATTATTTCAAGATAGGGTGGTGGTGCCGGCTACTTTACAGGATAAAATATTAAAATTACTACATGCAAATCATAACGGAATTATTAAAATGAAACAACTTGCTAGAAAAAGTATCTACTGGTTTGGCATAAACAAGGACATTGAAGATTTTGTAAATTGCTGTGATACGTGTTTGAGAATGACAAATACATCTGGAAGTAAAGAAACAAATAAGTGGATACCGACAACGAAACCTTTCAGTAGGATACACGCTGATTTTTTCTACTTCAAAGGACACGTTTTATTATTGATTGTTGACAGTTGCTCTAAGTGGTTAGAAATTGAAGTAATGGATACGGGAACAAATGCGGAAAAAGTTTTGAAGAAATTTGCTGGACTGTTTGCGAGATATGGGCTTCCTGATGTAGTGGTGACCGATAATGGCCCGCCTTTCAGTTCAAGTTTGTTTATTTCATTTCTTGAGAAGCAAGGAATACAGGTTGTTAAAAGTCCTTAGAGGTCTTAAATAAATTTCTGCTGGACTCTCAAATACTTTCCTTAGGTCTTCTGGACAAGGTCAATTACTTTCTTTTCAGCTATAGAAATACTTGTCTCGAGACTGGCGATTCTCCATCAGAAAAAGTTCTAGGTTATAAACCAAAGACTCTACTGGATCTACTAAATCCTAATAAATCATTTAAAAATAATTTAGAATATCCACCAGTAGAAAATATGGTTTGGAGCCATTCAAATAAGAGCCAATGTGATCCATTTGAAAAACTTACACCAGGAGACAAGGTTTACTATAGAAACCCTAATTTAGCACAAACACAAAGATATGTAGAGGCCACATTTACTAAAAGAGTCTCTACAAATGTTTTACAGATTGCCATCGGAGCACATCTTCTCACGGCCCACAGGGGGCAGATAAAACTCATGAAGAAGAGTGAAAGGAAGCGAAATGTGTGGTTCCAGATCGAAAGAAGTGGTGCGGATAGCCAAAAGAGAAAATACACAGCATCGGATGACGAAGAACCGTTCTGCGGTTTCAAGCAGTCGATTGACCCACCACCAGCTAGGAGGGAACTACACCCTGGAGTACTACGAGAAAATTGCGAGACCAAGGATTCCACAGTTGATCAGTTTGTAGGAATTCGAAAATCCTACAGGAAGAAAAGAAAACCAGCGCATGAAGAATTTATTTACTATTGAACAAACGTAGCATGAATATTCAGGGCCATCGAAATTGAATTTAGCTCTATGTGGTGAGCATTCGAATAATAGAACATATCAGCTTTTGTATTTACAGTTTAGATTATGTATTTCAACTAAATAGGGAAGGAGTTGTAATGAACTTGAAATTTAAAGAATATGTCTTTACAGTGTAACAGATTCCTATCCCTCTTGCGTCTTCAAATGGGTTCTATCTTTTCTATGTACACGCTAACTCCAGCTTACTCACCGGATGAGTCGATCGTACTCACTTTCGTCCGATGTATGGAAATGTCAAAAACTGAGTAAACGAGAAATGTCAAACTGAGTAAAAGCCACTCAGTCAGCAAAATCCTGCACTTAGAAAAAATGTCAACCATGTTGGAGGAAACTTCATAGGAAAAGTTACTCAAAACCGGCTGAAATGCCTTCAGGTAAGAAGGAGTTGCTTAGGGAAACGGTGTTGAAACATTTGCTGATCCGGTAGAATGAATCCGGAGCAAGAAATTTCCATTTCCTTAAATAAAAATCAAAACAAAACACTCCCTGCAACTGAAAATATCACTGAGTGGATTTGACTCAGTCTACGTGAGAACGTCGTTTACTCAAAAGTGAGTCAACATAAGGCTACTCAATTTCGAGTAGCCTTACTTGCCGCTGAAATGAGTACATTCGACTCAATTTTGAGTTGACTAGAATAAGCGTGTAATGCTCGATGTTATATACCTGAAAAGCAATTAACTTTGTTCCTTGAGGTTTGCTGTTGAAGATAATAAAGTTGCTCTCTTGTATTTTGATCGTTAACCAAAGCAGAAGTGTTTTATATTTAGTGAACTGGAAGAAGGACTTAACAGTTGACAAAACGAAAACCAAGTGCAACATCTTGATAAGATCGTTGTATCCACTTATCAACAGGAAGTCAACCCTGTCCCTGAAAAATAAGCTTGCTGTCTACAAACAAATCATCCTTCCTGTAATCGAGTACGGTATGCCAATCTGGGAGAGTTGCGCAAAATGCTATCACCTTAAACTCCAAAGGATCCTGAATAAGATCCTTAGGATGGTCCTAAACAGTCCCCCGCGGACTAGAAATTCTGAGATCCACTTCCTGGCTGGAATTCAAACATTAGAAGAACGGAGAGTATTCATCCTGGAAAGGTTCAGAGACACCTGTCTGGGATCAAATCATCAGATCATATGTGATCTAGCACGTTAGGTTAAGTTATACTCGTAGTTAGGTAGGTTATCACTTTTTTTCAATTCAAATAAAACACATCCCCAAAGGGATATTCTGTAAACTAGTTGAAAAACGCAAATATTAAATTAGAATAGCAAATGAAACAAAGATGAAGAGCCAAGTAGGCTAATCAATTAAAATGATAAATCAATGTACTACCATAATCAACAGAAATAAACATAATTTTACAACTTACTACTACTGCCTCTGCTCATTACCGCTTCGGACGGCGTGGCACTTGGTCCTGCAGCAAGCAGGATCAAGTCAGCGGATAAAGGTGGATCACCTGTCACACAAAGAGGAATGAGACTTGGATATGCAAAATATCCCTCTCCCCCTCCCCCCACTTTTTTCCGGGAAATAAATTTAAAGCAAACTACAATTATATGTAAAAACAAAACCCAAAATTTTCAAAACAATTGCTTAAGAGAAGACATACATCCGATGATATTATGTTGGTGGATTACCAACAACTGACTGTAAAACATATCTGGTATATATGCAATTAGATTAACATCCAAAGTCCATCCTTTTTTCCATATTCTGCACAAAAGAAACGTTCTGCCCCGCCCCATTCATAATAATAAGTATAATAGTCAAAAATGCATGCCAAACATCAATTTTGCGTGGTTCTACGTCATATTGCGGTCGTATCTAGGACACAACCCTTTAATTATTTTTTTTAATCCACTTCAGTATTTCCTAAGTACTCAAGTACTTTGCCATAATGGCCTTGAAAGTCGCCCAGAAATTTCCAGATGTTCTTTTCTCATAATGTAACAATTCCATGTACGATTTTGCAATAATGTCCAACGTTGATGGCCTTTAAAAATTAAAGTAGTAAGTTTTGCTTTTTAATTTTTTTATTAGTGGGTCCATCAATTGCAGTGATATTTAAAAGCAACATATTTTTTTAAAAACCTGGGAAAATCTGGAACATATTTTTAAAAAATCTGGATATATAAGTAATCTGTCTGTGTATCTGGCAAGACGACTGAAAATCTGGAATACTAGCAACGCTGATCAGGGATGAGAGTTTGAATTCGTAACTTGTTTACGTAGACGTGTGCTTTTTAACTGCAATTCCATGCATCCTACTGTGCATAATTAAATTGATAAATTTTTGGCGAGAGCAACAAAAAAATCCGTTGAAATGGTTGCCAGTAAGCATTAGTTTTCACTCACATGCAAAAGCGCCTTCCGACACTCAAAAATACACAAGAAACACTATTAACACAGGCTGACCATTTTCCCGGTGAATCATAATTTCCGCAGAGCCACCTCTCACGGTTTTCCCGTCCCAACTGACCAACCAAAGATCCAATCGGTTCTCTGTCGATTCTATTCGAAAGTAGATAGTCATACCTTTCAAATAGTGGCTCAATCTTAAAATTTGGTAACCAAATTGCTGAGAATCAGTTATGTATTTTGCTCGGAATAGTTCCAATCGGGTTTCTACCTGTTCCAAATCAAAGCTTGAAAATTTCGAATGGTGGCTGAATCATAACGATTGATCATCGTATTGTTGATAACCAGCCATGTGAACCATGAATCGACACGCAGTTTGCAGCCTTGGTACTTTGAGGAAGTTTTTATGCCGTGGGGATCTATCAGTTAATGCAGTATATTTGGTAACAGGTCCAGTAGGGATGCTTGTTCGATACTCACCGACCAAGCTCTTATCTTTGATTTCATCCTCGTAGCGGCGTACCACCGCATTGTACTTCCAGTACGCATCAATGTAGGCAGTCTTAATGTTATCGAACTGCGTACTTCGCACGAGATTCACCAAGCCCTCTTCCTCTTCCGTGTCATCGTTTTGTTGCTGCTGCTTCAGTTTGTCCAGATCCTCCTGCAGTCGTTTGACGGCATTGAAGATTTTGAAGCACAAGTTGGCGTTCTCATCTAGCCTTTGACTGACATTGACCGAACCAGTGTCGTCGTTGTCGTTCTCATCAGCGAAAAGGTTCACCTCTATGTCGAAGATGTTCTGCCGCAAGTCATCAATCCATCTGGAGATTTCTGAAAACTACAACGGATTTGAATATCATCGTTTGAATGCCCATGTCGGAACCACCTACTTGCTTCAGATCCTGCAAGATCTGCTTCTGGTTGTGCAGTATCTTGAGATCATGCTTCTGGACGAAGGTGTCTTCCCAGTCCTTGAATTCACTTTTCTAAAATAGAGCACACCGCTGTTGGTAGTAACTTAAAAAAAAAATTTTTTTAGTTGACCTCTAGTAACTCGTTCAATCGATCTTTGACCATCTTCGGCGCAATTTCGGACATCGGCGTCAGTTCACACCCAGACCAAGTCTAGACCACCCGCTCTCACGATCTGCAACCGACTGTGGCAAGTGCTTTGCGGTTTCTTGGAACGCAATGGCATGGTTTAAAAATTCTTTGGATACATTCTTACACAGTTCGAAAAACTAGTGAAAATTTCGGCAACGTTGGAATTCATCAAAAAATATTTGTATGAAAACATAAATCTTGTTAACATGTTGTAAGTAATACAATCCATATTCTCCTGCCCGGTAGTTCACGCCAAATGTAGTATTCAAAACTTTTTACTGTGCATTTTCACATGATGAACGATATTAGCCACATGTTGGGCATATATAATAGCGCGAAATGAAACTGTTCTGCCCTCCTATCACATCAATCTGCAACGCTGATAGCTATAGATGAATCAAAAGTGTGCGTTGAAAACGAAAAATTCTCGCAGAACTATTCAAAACGTCCGATGTAATGTATCGACTCGCTTCTTCACTTCCCCTTATTTGTTTGCTTTGCTAGGTAAAATCAGTCTCCACAGCTAGGTTTTTGGTGATAAGATAGTGAGTGAAATTTAGAACAAGTGACCAAAAGACACAAAGTCTGTGAAGAGAATCTATCGAACACACATTGGACGATTTGAAGAGCTCGGCTGGAGATGGAATGAGTGAAGAATGAAGAAAGAATTATGTTTTGGACAATCTATTTATAATGTGGTCTCGGACTGAACGGTTGGCGTTTGGGGAAAAATTATCAAATATCGAAAGAACATGGAAAAAGGGAAATACGGAAGGTCAGCATTTTGTGTCGGTGATAAATCTGTCAATTACCATCTTATAAAAGCAAATGTTTGCACTTCGCCAGTGGTTTAACAGAGGTTGATCAATGTCATGTGTCGCCGAAGTTGAAAATTTGTGTCTTATTATTTTGTCCATACGATCAATATCAATATCAATATCGAAGAATATCGTTATATCAACTGAAATCAAACGGTGATATTCACGGACACAATGCATTCTAGTATTTTCCTAAATTTTTGGTTACAATTTTGTGACACACAAATTTACAACGCATTCCAGTTTAAACTTGATTCTTCCAGTTTTTTTTCGTAGCAACCAGTCAAACAGATAATGTTTGAAATCTTCCAGTTATTTTAATATTAATCCAGTTTTATCAAGAGCTTTATACAGGTTTTCATTATTAACTCTCAAACCCCCAACGTCAAAAACGAAAAAACTACCGCACTACAATTCAAAATATTTTCAGAATAAAAAGGTTTTTCCAAAATCCTTTAAAGTTCATCAACACTTGAGGAGTATGCGGCTTATTTTAGATGGATAGTTGAAAAATCTGTTCAGAAATGATGGAATTATGATAGTTTTAGCATTTTTCAGTATCAGACGATGGTGCTTTTATAGTTAATAGCAACATATTTTGAAGTACAATAACCAGTACAAAATAACTTTAAATTTACTAACTTTATTGGACTAGGATTACGGGAATACAATAAAGGTTGAATACGAAAAAATCTGGACACATTAAAAACGCTGCCATTAAGTCATTTTTTGAGTAAAGTTTTTCAAAATTTCACCGAATCCAAGCTAAGAGTGTATAGAATCACAGTATGCATTGGTTGTCAGGATAGTTGATTTGTTTACATCATGGCTTCACCGGAGCAAGCAAGTCGCGATTCGATGCTGCAAACTCGACACGAAAATCCCGCTCTATCCGCTCCTGGCAGGTTTCGATTAAAATCCTGGGCAGGAATTTTATACCTCGGTTGACCGGGAGAGTGCCCCAAAAGAATGTAAAATCAAAAAGAAGTCGAAATTCTCCAATATGTTCCTTGTCTGGCAAGCAATCTGCAGTTGTGGGCTGAAAAGCGAAACTTTCGTTACTTCTGGGACCATGAAGCAGCAAATTTACCATGAGGAGTGACTACGGAAGAGGCAACTGCCTTTCCTGGAGCAGCATGAGGTGGATTGCCTATTCTGGTTGGACTTGGCAAGCTTCCACTACTCAGATTCCACCAAACAGTGGTACAGCGAAAATGGCGTCACTGTGGTTCCCAACGAGATGAAACCGGCCAATACTCCGGAACTAAGGCCAACTGAGGGCTACAAATGGTGAGTGACAATCTGAAAGGAGCGATATACCTAGCTCCGGTCCTCACAAGTTCCTACCTCACGCCTCCACGGGTCATATGATCACAAAAGACTGCCAGCTGAAACATGGACACAGCTGGTTGGCGTAGCCTGGGCAATGTTGTCAATCCGACAATAGCAGAGTGAGGAGGTGCGACGCGAACACTGGCGCGGTAACCATAGCACGGTGATAGAGGAAATGCTTCGCCAACCCGAGCGTCTGTTCACCATGGAGGTGCGGCTTAAACAGCGTCTGACTGGCATCCAGCGGCTGAATAAGAAATGCTCTTCCCGGGAAGCTACCACCAACCACCTACTGTCTCTGAAACCTTTACAATTGTTACAGAAACCAACAGAGAAAGACATCGAACTGATATAACGGCAACGACTTTTAGCGCAAAACAACGGACACGAATTGGATCATGGAATGTATTGACGTTAGCAGGGTAAACTGGCACAACTCGCCAACGAGGCGCGACGCATGAAGCTAGAAATCATGGGACTGAGTGAAGTTCGTTGGCCAAACTTTGGAGAACACAAACTGCCGTCGGGACAGGTACTACTATACTCTGGTATTCGAGGTGAAAACGCTCCCCGCCATCGTGGAGTTGGTCTCCTACTTAGCGTCCAGGCAAGTGCTGCGCTCATCAAGTGGGAGCCTGTTAATGAGAGGATAATCGTTGCCAGATTTAGAACACGGGTTCGTAACCTTACCATAATCCAATGTTATGCGCCAACCGATGCTGCCGAGCTACAGGACAAGGAGAATTTTTACAGTCAACTGAATGCCGCCGTGGATAAGGTTCCAAAGGGTTACATCAAGATCTACACTGGCGACTTCAATGCGAAGATCGGCTCCGACAACACGGACTATGAGCGTGTCATGGGACGCCATGGTCTCGGCAAAAGGAGCGAGAACGGTGAGCTGTTTGCAGAATTTTGTGGCAATAACGACATAGTGATCGGGGGCTCGCTCTTCCCCCATCGACCAGTGCACAAAGTCACGTGGATTTCCCGTGATGGACATACCGAGAATCAGATCGACCACATCTGCATCAGCCGAAAATGGAGACGGAGCCTTCTTGAAGTCCGGAATAAACGCAGCGCCGACATCGCGTCTGACCATCACCTTCTAAATAATCGGTGAAATCCGCCTACGCATGGCGCGGATTCAGCGACGGGAGGAGAGACTCGGGCGGCGGTTCAACACACGCCGACTTGAAGATCCAGCGGTAAAAAGGTCTTTTGATCATGAACTTGAGACTCGAGCTGCGGACGTTCCAGAAGGTGGCAGCGTAGAAGAACAATGGACGGCCATCAAGAATGCCCTTATAGAAACAAGCGAGAACAACTAGGGTGAGCTGCGCACCCAGAGGAAAGAGTGGATCACAGATGAAACCTGGCGAAAGATTGAGGAGCGTAGAGAAGCAAAAGCCGCGATAGAGCGGGCTCAAGCGGGCAACCAGAGGAGCCAAGAACGAAGCCCGTCAACGGTACTCGGCTCTAGAGAAGGAAGTCAAGCGCTCTTGCAGACGGGACAAGCGAGCGTGGGTGAACTCCCTGGCCGACGAAGGGGAGAAAGCCGCAAACACTGGCGATATACGCCTCCTCTACGATATCTCACGACGCCTGAGTGGAGCAAGGATAAACCCGAGGATGCCAGTGAAGGACACGACTGGACAATTGCTTACCGACCCCACTGACCAGCTGAAACGCTGGTTTGAGCACTTCGAACAACTTCTTCAAGTTTCGACGGCCAACCAGCCATCAACATCTCGGCATGATCCGCCTAGGGTGCGGCGCATCACTCGCGTCAATTCCGAGACCCCATCACTGCAGAAGATTGAAGCAGCTATCCGAAGCATAAAATCCAACAAGGCTCCAGGGGTCGATCGCATATCAGCAGAGATGCTCAAAGCTGACCCCATGCTATCCGCACAAATGTTGCATCAACTATTCTGTAATATCTGGGACACCGCGACTTTTCCGGCCGACTGGATGCAGGGCATCTTAGTGAAGGTCCCAAAGAAGGGGGATCTGACTGTGTGCGACAATTGGCGAAGCATCATGTTACTGTGTATTGTTCTCAAAGTTCTGTGCAAAGTTATCCTGAATCGGATACAGGAGAAGATCGACGCGACTCTCCGACGGCAGCAGGCAGGATTCCGTGCCGGAAGATCTTGTGTGGACCATATTGTCACGCTCCGCATCATCCTGGAGCAGGTCAATGAATTCCAAGAGTCCCTTTATTTGGTATTCATTGACTACGAAAAAGCTTTCGACCGTCTCAATCACGAGAATCTGTGGGGCGCCCTGAGACGCAAGGGAGTCCCGGATAAAATCATCAACCTCATCGAAGCGCAGTATGAGGCTTTCACGTGCAGAGTTCTGCATAACGGAGCCTTGTCCGATCCTAATCGACGAGATCATGGTAGGTGCAATTGACCGTGTACCGAACCGTGGGCTGCTTTGGCAGCCTATCACCATGGAGCATCTCAACGACTTCGATTTGGCTGATGATGTTGCTCTACTAGCACAACGGCGCTCTGATATGCAGAGTAAGCTCAATGACCTAGCCGAACGCTCCTCTGCGGCGGGTCTCACCATCAACGTCAACAAGACCAAATCGTTGGATATCAACACGGGCAACCCTTCCAACTTTACGGTAGCGGGGCAAGCAGTGGATAAGGTCGAAAGTTTCCAATATCTTGGCAGCCAAATAGCGTCGGACGGCGGGACCAAGAGCGACATAGGTGCACGTATCAAGTGCACGTGCCTTTGCGAGTTTACGAAACGTATGGAGATCCAACCAGATAAGTCAACGCACCAAAATCCGAATTTTCAACTCGATCGTGAAATCTGTGTTGTTATACGCCAGCGAGACGTGGTGTGTATCAACGGAGAACACTCAAAAGCTGCAGGTCTTCATCAACCGATGCCTGCGGTATATAATTCGTGCCTGGTGGCCTTACAACTGGATCTCAAATGCCGAGCTCCATCGTCGATGTCATCAGAAGCCGATAGCAACAGAAATTCGAGAGCGAAAGTGGAGGTGGGTCGGCCACACACTTCGACGGGGCGGAAACGAAATCTGCAAGCAAGCGCTGGATTGGAATCCAGCAGGACATCGCAGCAGAAGCAGACCCAGGGGCTCATGGCGGCGGAGTCTAAATAAGAAAATTAAGCAAGTCGATAGAAATCTGACCTGGGCCCAGGTCAAGGCAAAAGCGAGCAGCCGCCCAGGATGGAAGTCTTTCACGTTGGCCCTTTGCACCGCTGGTAGTGCACAGGACCCTTAAGTAAAGTAAGTAAGGCCAATTGAGAAGTACTGGTCAATTGTGAAGCACATACTGAAGAAAAAGGGTAAAACTGCAATTGAACTTTACGATTTCAAGCGGAAATGGAGATTTGGCAGCCAAACAAGTGGAAACAGGGCTCATGCAAAAGATGATGGGCCGTGTTCGAATGAAAGTTCGAGCAATGGCCTATTGTAAGAAGGAATACTGAAACAATGGTCTTACAATAAGCATAAAACCGAAGACTACAAATCAAGAAGACTGGCAACTCTGCCAAAAATCAGGAGACAGTAACGGCAACGCCTCTTCTGAGCAAAAGTGGAACCTATGTATGAGGGTGTGTGTGTTAATTCACGAGTACATTTACACACACAGGTAGAAATGAATAGATGTCAATTATTGCTTTTGTTATGATTGTCGTAAAAAGAGAAAAGTTTCTTTCTTTGCTCTATGCTGACAACGAGTAAAATTCCAGCTGAAATAGAACAGATGCGCAAGTAAATTTGTTTTGAAAATTAAAACTATGGCAATGATGCCATTCACAATGATGGTGGGACCTTTCTCGATCATTAATTTGCTATCTCAGAATTATCTTCCACTTGTCCTAAGCCCTTTAGTGATGCATTATGGGCATTCATATGGTGCATTAGTAAAATGCATACCCGTTCCGCATGACTTTGGCACCTGGCTACAGTGGGGGAAGTTAAGTTGTGACGCTCGGCAACTTGGCACAGTACTCGCTGACCATTTGAATGTCACTGGCCAATCCGACACTGTTGTTATCACTCTCTGGAAGGGGCCGGTCGATTCCAAGAATTGTTAAAGCATACAGAAGATCACTATCTGGTTCTTTATCAATAGGTACCGTTTGGGATTGTAGTCCTTCAACCTTTCATTTTCATTTTCCCCAACATTAAATCCTGCTACGGCTTCCGTTGGATCGTGGTGTAGGTATCGGATCTTTCTTCTTTTTGAATCCTTGAATTTTCAGCAGCTTCCGAATGATGGTAGTTCACTAATTGGTGATGGAAGCTGTCAATTCCTTGTAATTGATTGCTTCCAACAGGCAAAATAAACAATATTTCGGTTCCTCGTTCACAAGTAAAAGTTATTTTCACTAGGTATCGATCCGAGTTTCAATGACAAGTTTTTCGGTTTGAAGTTTGAAAACCACCGGCTTGCTGAGATTACGACACAAATTGCCGTGAAATTTTGTAGGGCAAATCAAAAACAACAACGAGTACCGTGTTATGATTATTTGTTTCGGTGACATTAGGTAACCCATACAGTCACTGTTTATGAGCAGTCTCACTAACACTTGTGCTTCACAGTTCCACCTTTAATTGACAGAGGCGCTGTTATCAGTGACGTTTGACATTTGTATGGGAGAAGGGAACAGTTGCCAGTCTTCTTGATTTGTAGTCTTCGATAAAACCTACTAAGGCCGTTAGCAATGCTGTTGTATTTGATATAGACTGTATCAATATGAAACTAGAACAGAAACGCACCCCTCGTAATGCTGAGTTGCAGTTTCATTATTCGAGTACTAGTTTGCACCATATTTGCAATTGCTCGTCTATTCTGCTTGATTTATGAGAGGGTTTGAAACATGAATGGAACTCTGTTTAAAATTTCTATAGATGTATTTGTGGAGCTTTTAATCTGACAGATGGCAGGTGGCCAGGGGAAAACGAGATGACGAAACGAAATCGCATTCTGTTAATGTTCGGAGTAGACAAATTTATCCAGCAAATAAATTTGCTTTACATCATAGACATCTCTCAAGAAACCAGATGAAATGAGATGATGATGGTCCCACCTCTTACCCCTACAAAGGTTTGAGCTGGACGATTTATCTTTAAGATAATTGAATATGACATTTTAACCAGGTTGGCAAACAAAATCGAACTGGTTTCAGTTACAGATATAGATTCCCTCTCAAGTTTACAGTTGCTTCACAGCGATATAAATGTGGAAAAGCTCAGGCGTCCACCTCTTAGTTCGCCTTTTTGTCCACCTAAAATATTCATAAGTATTACAAGCAATCAAGAGTTAATGAACAATCAACAAAGCATCCTATTACACTAGTAACCCCGCAATCTGATGCTAACTCAAAGTATCTTCCAAATAAGCTTCAAAATTGCATTTTTTTTTATCGAATGTTAAATTAAGTCCTCTATATCCGTAATACGCGCGCGAGGCTCAAACCTTTGTAGACTACTTTTTTTTTTAAATTAATCTACTATAAAATCATATATTAAAAATCCATCATCACCTTCGTGGCGAACAGAAATAGTTTTTGCAGTGCTACAATAATTATTAAAAAGTCGTTATGACAGCTATCCATATAAAATAATCCGTTAGAGATAACTTCGTCAAGATACATAATTTGCTCCTAATTTTTCCTAAGATCTTCAGGTGATTAGATATCTACAAAAAAATTCTCTGGATATTTTTTCGATACTTCTGGTTCATCAAATATTCTGGAGATCTTCTACTGTCCAATAATTCTAATCGCGTCTCTCATATATTCTCTTATGATACCACGTGACTCAGAAATTATACCAAAGGTCTTCAGGTGATCAGATCTGACCAGATCAGCTCTCGAAAAAAATCTTTGGGTATTTTGACATAGGATTACGTCTTTCGGTAATGCTATTCGGGGTGCTAGTGGTATGTCGGTTCGTCGGTGGTGCTATTAAAAAAAAACAAAATCGACCACGTTACGAAAAAAATTCTCGAATCAATTTTCGCTGTTTTTTTTATTTATTATCCATTGAATAAACCAAAAATTCCGTGCGTTTTGTGCACGAAAAGGAGTAATTTTGTCATCATAAAACGAGACGTTTCCGTGAGGAGAAAAAAGGGTTTCCCTAACACAGTCCCCAAATATTGATACGGAGCACGTAATCCTACGTCAAATACAACCTCTTACTTTTTTCAAATTATTATTCTGAAGATCTTTAACTGTCCAACATTCAACTAACGTCTCTCAGAGATTCTCTCATGATGCCAGGTGTCTCTTAAATTATTCCAAAGGCCTTCGTGTGCTAATAGGTTTTCAAAAACTTCTCAGGATATTTTCTCAATACTTCAGGATGCTCAAAGATCAGAGATTCTCTAGCTGTGTCTCAGAAATGATTGTAAAGCATTCATGTGCTCATGGGTCTCCAATAACTCTGGATAATTAAGTTTTATTCTAAAAATATTCAACTGTATTCCAAAATCTTACTGTACTTCAGGATGAACTGTTGGGGTGTGCTGCTGCCGTCTTTGTTCGATCTCACTGGGCCACGGTTGTTCTCATATATGAGACTGGTTGATAAGGATTAACTCACAGTAATTCACATCGCATTGAAATGCAAAACACTTCAAATCCATCTGTAGTGTGATTCAATGTGCAATACACTTGAATTGATAGAGAAAGATTAATATTTCAAAGTTTGAAACACTAGAAATCAACGTGTAGAACACACTAAACCACGGTGAAATACACTTTAAATAAATGTGATTGTGCATATGAAAAATCAAGTGTTTAAACAGTTCGATCAGACGTGTGATTTTTTTTTGTGTTTAGGTAACCAGGTTGCTACTTTGCCCAATCGCGGTCCGCAATAGACTGGCTTAACTGAGAGAACGCATCATTGTAATTAATTGATGAGACATGTTTTGTCAAATTCGTTGTGCCCGACATCTGATAACGATCAGTTGCAAACTAGCAAAAACGTGCTACGTACGTTCTACCATATCTTATCACTCAGCAGTAGGAAGTTCTTTCACGGAAGGAAACGAAACATACCTATGTACTAAAATAGCAACTTTTGTATAGTCACACAAATCGCAATCACCACCAGCAGTCCCAAAACGGCCACCAGCAAAGCCGTCCGACTGAGGCAGAAACATTTCCGCTTGGCCACTCGCCACTGCAGTTGCCGTGCCTGCTTCAGATCCTCCGCCGCCTTGGCCACATGGACCGAGGCAACCTCAATGTTTCCTTCGACCAGGTTCAGAAGACTACCGTGTTCCATCACCAGGGTGGAAAACAGGACAAACAGGTCCCGCATTTCAACGAGGGATCGTTCCAGTGTCAACAGGTCTTGGTGGCGTTCCTCTGTGACGTTTAGGGTATGGCGGGCCTCCTCTTCGACGGAGGAGAACTTTTGAAGGGTTTGGTCAGCGAGTGAGATCCTCCGGTATTGGATGCCATCCAGCAGTAGGGGATCCGAGGCGTCGTAGTAGGTGAATTGATCGGGGTCTACGTGGAATGGCACTGAAAGAGGGGGAATTAATTGGGAATTATTTGTCGTTTTGACATCATCTAATCTAATCCGAATTGTTGTTTAGTTTTCACCAGTAGACATAACCAGTTGAAATCATTGTTAGGATCCACTAAAGACCCAGTTAATGTTTTAGGTAAAGCAGGTGTATATAAAATAAGCTGTAATCATTGTAACAAAGTATATGTAGGACAAACCAAGAGAACTTTAGCAACTAGATTTAAAGAACATATAGCGGAGGTTAATAAGGCCAAAAAGCAAGAGGAAAAAGGCCTAACATATGATTTCAAATCAAAGTTTGTAGAACACATCTTCACATAGGACCACCAACTATCGACGGAGGACATCACGATTTTACGAACCGTATGTACACCATGGAAATTGGATGTTGCAGAAAGCCTCGAGATCAACAAACAACGTAATTCAACTGTACTCAACAGGGATCAAGGAAACGGACACACATGGCTTTTCAAGTTACTACCTAGGACACATCAACGAGTAAGCAACGGAGTACCTGTTCCTATAGAAAATTAAATTTAAGTTGACCTAGTTTCTAAGTGAAAATGTACCTGTGTTAATATATATTCGGTAAATGCGATGTTTTTCTTCAGTCGAGTATTAGTACAAGACACTGAAGAAGTCTGCACATTGTAGACGAAATACGCGTATCTGTCAAGGATAAGCAAATAAAGTAGTGGAATTAAATGGAAAATACTAATCCTTCTCTCTCTCGTGACACAATTAATGCATGGGCCCAGTCATATTTTGAAACAGTGGGGTTATTTTCATCAGTGACGATTTTTTATAAGAGAAGCACGGAAATAATAAAAGTTAATCTGGTTCCACGGCCAAAAACTAAGTTATTTTGTCTGCAAGGTTTTCAACCCGCAATTTTGTGTTAACTTCGAGTGACTTTTAATTTAAGCGACTGTAATTTGCTACAGCGTCACGGTAAATCGAAGACTTTTTTAATCGTATCGGTAGTATCGGTATTGATACAAATTATTTGAAGACTCAATTTTTGACAACTCTGAGGGAAACCGAATATACTACATTGGAGGGTATATCAGGCATAACATTTGATAACGGCACAAAAGCATTTGTAACCAAACTTTCTAAGGTCCTTTACACGCGAAACAAAGTACGACCACACAAACCAATACCACTTTAGGAAAGGTGATAGTTGCCTCAATCCGATAATGTTATGGGTTTGCGTGAGCCTGATATTATACAGAACGTTGCACAAAATTATGCAATCTGCGATTATTAAGCCTTTTACCAAATTCACTATCTTTATAGATTAACATTGATGTAAATATAAACAATGAATCGCAAAAGATTTTACTTGTGTTTTATTTGTATTCAAAAAGTCACACAGTATCCAATTTCACTTGTCTTACGCAAACTTAATGATAATGATTTAAATCTTAAAAATTAAATTTCAACCCCAACCTCAATACTCCCCACTAGAAAGGGTCTAGGATAAGGGAGGAGCGATTTCGTAACAAACTAGCTTGGTCTAGCAACACTGACAATGCAATCTTATTCAGCTTTCAATGTTTGTTGGGTACTCAGGATTTGTTAAGGAAGATTACAATTGTGCGATGAATTCCAGGAGAACATAAAGGGTGTATTCGATAAAAATGGCACACCGAAAATCTTCTGTAACTTTTGAACCGTGTGAGTAAAAAAACCAGAAAATTTGAGTAATTCTTATTCATAGTTTACACCTGTCAAGTTTCATAGTTATTCACGTTATTCATACAGTAGTTCCAGTCAACCCGTCGAAAAAGGAAATTTTCCGTGAAAAAATTTTAAGCGCTTACAATCAAAACCCGACTGTAGAGCTGTTCAGTCCGTTTATTTACTCCAGATCTCGTGTCGATTTTGTTTCGTTTTGTGCTGTCGCGTTGCGCCGTGGAAGTGTCGCCACCTTCTCGCGTTCTGGCAAGTTTACTAGAACTTGCAAACACGAAACAAATGGTGAGTAAACGTGCCAATGAGACAGCAGCGGACCCTTCAAAGAAGGTGCTAATCAAGCCCAACGCGTCGCAGGATGACGCCGGAAAACGGGTACTGCAAGCCAACCAGTATGGAGTACTCCCGGAAGAAAATGGTGATGGTGACACCGTTCCCATTGCAAAAAAAGAGCGGATTCCCCCGCTTTTCACGCCGGTGAAGGATGCCGCCAATCTACGTGCCGAACTGGCAAAACACAAGCTGCTGCCTCGCTTCAAGCTTTGCAGCATCGGTACCAAAATCATGTGCTCCAGCCTGGAGAAGTACAAACAAATAGGATGTTTCCTGAAGGACAACAACGTGGACTTCTTCACGCATGATCTGCCATCGAGCAAGCCACTGAAGGTGGTTTTGCGTGGATTACCGTCGTTCAAGGCGGCTGTGGTGAAATCCGAGCTGGAGCGGCTTGGGCTCAAACCTGAGGCTGTGTTCCAGATGAACCGGCGTTCCAACAACAATACCAGCTTCCGTGACCAGTTGTTCCTGGTGCACTCCACGAAGGGATCCACCAGTCTTGCGACTCTGGGATCCAAAATCCGGGACCTGTTTCAGGTCATCATCAGCTGGGAGCATTACAAACCCCAACACAGTGATGTTACGCAGTGTATGAACTGCCTCTCCTATGACCATGGCACCAAAAACTGCCATATGAAGACAAACTGCGGCAAGTGTGCTGGAACTCACTCAACTGCGTCCTGTGAGCAAGTTGATGACATAGAGCCAACGTGTGTCAACTGCAGTGGAAACCACCAAGCCTCCAATAGCGAATGTCCCAAGCAAGTGGAGTTCATTAATATCCGTCGGAAGGCTACAACCAACAATCAGCCCAATCGCTTCCGGAATCTTCGTTCGCCTCCTGTACTCACGGAAGTCCAGTACCCAGCTCTCCAGCCCCGTCGACATGTTCCGAACCTAGCCCGCTTCCGCTCAACAACCAACAAGCCAATCCTGCGAGTATCCAAATGGTTCCCAACAGTCGGACAGTTCAGCATCGTCTCGCTGCTGCTGCGGCCCAGCCAATTCCAGGTTCATCCACCGCCCCTGGTTTATCATACGTTGGTGCTGTCTCAGGTGAACCTGTCGACGATTCTCCGTTCACCTCGGAGGAACTTGTGACGCTCGTGGCCGAGGTCATCATCATCATGCGCACCTGCAAGACTCGATTTGAACAGCTACATGCTGCCCTGTCCCTTGTCACTAAGTATGGACCGTGAAGCCATCAAGATCGTAAATTGGAATGCTTGCTCCTTGAAGAGCAAAAACATCGAGTTTGTTGACTTTCTCAACGAACGGCACATCGACATAACTACTACCAAGCTTCCAGCTGAACATTATCGAAGCAATCGGAGTTAAGGTGAGCACATCGCTTGGTCCAATCACCATCATCGCGGTCTACTGCCCCAAGCAAACCAACATTAGGGACGGCTCGGCCGCAAACCTCCGAAGAGACTTCATCAAGCTAATACGACGGCGGCAAAATTTCGTCATCGCTGGCGACCTGAACGCCAAGCATCAAACCTGGGGCAATAGTCGGCGAAACCAGAACGGCACAATCTTATACAACGATCTGCAGGAATCCCACTATAACATCCTGTGTCCGGACACTCCCACCCGGTTGAGTCGATCCGGAGTTCATGCCACCATCGACATCTTCATCAGCAACATTGGCGATAACATCTCTCAACCTATCGCCTATCAGGAACTGAGCTCGGACCACTATCCGTTGGTGGCCAAAGTTGGTTCCTCGGCCAATAGGTTTCAAGTTTCCCGGTGAAATTACCATCGTGTCAACTGGCAGCAGTATAAGCGCTGTGTGGACACAGCAATCGATTACGCCGTCCTACCGGAGTCGTTCGAAGATGTCGATCGGTGTCTGCAAACCATCGAAGATGCGATATCCCGTGCCAGGGAGCAACACGTACCAGCATCCAGACAGGTGAGTCAGACTTTGAACTTTGACAGCCCAACCAAAGATCTTATCAGGCTCCGTAACACCATTCGTAGGCAGTTCCAGCGTTCTGGGTTGCCCCACTTGAAGACCAAATGTCAATAGGCTAACCAAAATTATCCAGGCCAGTGTCGTGACGCTTGCTTGATTTTCCGGCCATCTTCATCGCGGAGCAAAAACAGTTTGTAACTTAACCCCACGCGACGACCAAACGATCTCCCAAACACTCAGCGTATTCTCGGTACATCTCTCAATTTTGCACCGGGTCGAATGATTATCTCATATTTTGCTCCCGAAGCTCAGATTCTTCGGCAACAAGTGACCGAACTCTCTAGCAAGCGCGGTAACGACAACGAGATTCTTTTGACGTAGGACTACGTCTTTGATTTCTATATGGGGGTACACTTTGTGAAAACCAAAAATGGAACATGTAACAAATTAAGAAAGATTTTGAACGTTAATAACTCAGCTGCCCCTGGTCCAATTTCAATAATTTTATCACCAATCGATCAGAAATACGGCTACGCATCGATAACAATGCTTTCGGATTTTGATTTTCTACACGAAACTATTGAAAAACTGGTAAATGTCCAGCATTGTCCAAAACCGTCGAATTAACTAACAAATCCACCAATTACCTACATGCATATGCTGCTTCCCCAGCACAGTCGTCAGAGAGTAGTAAGTAGACGAAACAAGTCGAAGTGGCATTCGCCTCCGATCCTCGAGCGCGTGCGAATATGGAGGATGGAATTGCATAATATTTTGCACACTCATCGCCATATTCAGAACCAAACGCAAATTCTTCGAGATAACCACCATACGTCGTCTGGCTCGCCGTGAAAAATGAGATCCGTCACCTACACTAAACCCGCCAAGCGTAAGCGGCCATGGATGTCATCTACGTTTTGAAGTGACAGAGACGCACTCTGTTTGGTTTCGGAGGTTAAAACATCACCAACTTTGGCAACAAAACGGCTCTTTTCAGGGCCTCCAAGCTTATTACAGAAAAGAGTAGGAATATAATTCATCTGCCTGTTTGTGCATATTCAGAACCAACGACCACACAAAATGCTCATGTAATCAAACTGGCAGGGGTACAAATTATTTTGATCAACCTTTGAATCGCCACGGCCGGATATTTTCGATGGAAGAAGCAAAACAATCTAGCATCTAATTCGACGAAGACGGCAGGAAACATTTTTGAAGCAGAGTTATTTACGAAAGAAAGTGTCCATGAAGCGAATCGATCAATGTAGAAAAGTGACGCGAGATTTGTTTTCCGTGCTGAGCTCCAAGCTACCGACGCCAGGGAGGCAGTTCCCACACCTGGGGCCACATTGCGCATCTCGAATCGAAACACTTTTTGTACAATGCTTGTATGAATAAGTTTTTCGTTTCGAAATGCGTAATGTGGCCTCTGGATCCTACACATCGACCCATAAAAACTCATGAACAGGGGACCAACGGTTTTACTTCCCGAAGGAAGGCGTGATTAGATATGTTATGTCTTAGAACATGCCGGTGCGACTGAGATTGCACCCAGGCCTGTTGGTATGAGAGGTCATCACGCTTACCACTTCACCACCGGCGCCGCTAACTTTCAAAGTGTTGCCATTGGCAAATCTACGCAAAATGAAAGGAACCAGTGTCGCTACTTGATAGCAAACTACTCATGATGGGAGGAATCTTTGTAGCTTATATACCACTTGGTTGCACATCATTCTGCTTTTACCTGAAAATATATCGGCCGCTGAAGGCCGCTGGTGTCGATGGAGTGGTCAACCTCGAGCTGAAAAACTTGAGTGTTGACTTCTTCAAGCACCTTGCAGTGGTCTTCAACAAGTGTTTAATGCTTGGCTACTTCCCTGCATGCTGGAAGTTAGCCAAAGTTATTCCAATTCACAAACCTGGCAAAGACCCTACCAGTGCCAAAAGCTATCGCCCCATCAGCCTCTTGTCCTCCATCTCGAAGCTATTCGAAAAATTGATACTCAGCCGTCTGCTGGTGTTTTCAAATGATAATAACATCTTTCTCAAAGAGCAATTCGGGTTTAGGAAAGGCCACTCTACCATCCACCAACTCGCACGGGTTACTAACATCATCAAGCGGAACAAGTCCGTTTCCAATACATCTGCCATGGCATTGTTGGACGTCGAGAAGGCGTTCGACAATGTCTGGCATGATGGCCTAGTGTACAAGCTGCATCGATACAACTTCCCGGTCTTCCTCGTGAAGATCATCAAAAACTACTTGTCGGGCAGTTCATTCCAGGTCTTCTTGAACAATTCTCCTTCTGATACGTTCAACGCTGATGCAGGGGTCCCTCAGGGTAGCCTGCTTGGGCCTATCCTATTCAACATTTTCACGTCAGACGTTCCTCCCCTGCCGGGTGGTGGTATCCTGTCAATGTTTGCAGATGACACCTCCATCATCTATAAGGGTCGAGTGATCCGTGCTCTGGCGAGTAAACTACAATCAGGCCTGGATGTTTTGTCCGACTATTTTAAGAGCTGGAAGATTTGTATCAATGCAGCTAAAACACAAACCATTCTGTTTCCACATTCGTATTCACCTCGGCTTGTTCCGCCTGCTAATGTCAAGATCCATCTTGATAGCACTCCCATTGATTGGTCGAGTGAAGTAGTCTACCTTGGTCTCACCCTCGATAGCAAATTGCTATTCCGATCCCATGTGGACAAGACATCCACCAAGTGTAACATCTTGATCAGGTCGCTCTACCCTCTGATAAACAGGAAGTCCACCCTGTCCCTCAAAAACAAGCTTGCTGTCCACAAGCAAATCATTCTGCCGGCTATTGAGTATGGTATGCCAATCTGGGAGAGTTGTGCTAAGTGCCACCACTTAAAGCTTCAGAGGATCCAAAACAAGATCCTCAGAATGATCCTTAACAGTCCACCGCGAACTCGTAATTCTGAGATTCACCACCTGGCCGGTCTTCAAACACTCGAGGAGCGAAAGACTTCCACGCTGGAATGGTTCAGAGTCGCCTGTCTGGGATCAAACCACCAGATCATTCGTGATTTGGCAACCTAGATTAAGTAGTTAGGTGCTCAAGTAGGTAGGTTATCAAATTTTTAAATTCAAACCAAAACAATCCCACAAAGGGTATCCTGTAAATTAGCGCTAAACGCAATCATCACATTAGAATAACCAATTAACTAGAACAAAGATGAAGAGGCAAAGTGGTTAGAGGTTGAAATGTTAAACCAAATGTTGAAACATAAAAAAAAACCAGGAAATAAACGTAAATTTTACTACGACTCGTTGAATTTTGGAGGTGACGGACCACCACCAGCAGCAGAAACAGCAGCAGCAATAGAAGCAGCCGCACCCGTGGGAGCTGCATCGCTAATTCGTGTAGCCGTGGCCGAGGCTGGAAACCCTGGTCCGGTCACGACACTTTCAAGGAGCGTCTTAGTGCTCGAAAGAAGAAAGGGAGTGGTCGTAAAAGTGGTCCAATGAACAGTAAAATGGCCTGGAAAGTGGTATAACAGTTCAAGAACCGTCCAAACAGTCCAAAAGTCCAGGTGTCAGTCGGTTTTGTGCAGAAAACCATGAAGCATGCTGGGTTACATGTTTACAAGGTGCCAAAAGCCCCAAACCGGAATGAAAAGCGAAACATCACTGTCAAAACCCGTAGTAACTCGCCGGTTCCAAGAAAATGAAAATCTTCCCTTTTTCCTTCCTGTCCTTAACAGGATCAACGGGTTCCAACGATCCGTCTTGTTTTCTCTTGGGCTCGATTGCTTCCCATAAGTATTCGACTGCAAGATACGTTTGGACGGCAAATTTTCGAGTGGTCCAATTTCTGCCGACCAACCGCTCGATCACGAGATTTGCACTATTCGCCATTTAAACCGATTTTTTTGACCTTAACTCCATTTTGTAAACAAACCTTGTAAAGCCGTTTTCTCGTGTACCGAAGTCCGCAAAGGCAAACCAACATAATGAACAGGTAGGAAAGAGGAGACTCTACCCGATTGTGGTTTAGGTTTACGAATGAAGGTTTCGGTTCGCGAGAAATTGGCCTTATAAGATTTGTTTACAAAATGGAGTCAAGTCCATTGAAATTGTTGGTCTTGAATTATTAGACAGCTAGCTTCTACCAGCCTACTACTACTGTTTTGGTTTCCTCACAACAAATGCGAATTGGAAAAGGTTTGCCGATTTAATTAATGTACGTACTCTATAAAAATTGCGAGGGATACTTTAAAGCTTCAACAAAGGATTGAAACCCAACATGTTTTAATGACTAAATCAGCATGTCCAATTTGTTTATCTGATTGTAATTAATGAAAAAAATATAATTCATGTGAGTAGCTATTGCATCGGTCTATGAATTTTTCGGGTTGGAAAATATCTTGACTCCCCTGGGCATAGAGTATGATCGTATGATTGTACTTGCCACTCTCAAATAATAACTGTGGAAGTGCATCTAGAACACTAAGTTGAGAGCACGCAATAAGCTAATATGCGATAAGCAATAAGCTTGAAATGCGAAGAAGTAGCACTGCAATCAAACATAAGCTGGTTACCTTTGCTAACGCTAGATGGATTGCCATTTTTCTCCACTGCATGATGTATGGCAAAACGAATTGTTGTTAATATTTGCTCAAACCGCTGCATGTAATTTTTTAATGAAACCATCCTGAAAGGCTCCAAGCTTTTAACTCACCTATCGAACCGCTCTTCCTGATCGTATCTTCATAGCGATGCACCATCGCATTGTACTTCCAGTACACGGCTATGTAAGCCATCTTGATACTCTCGAACTGGGTACTCCGCACACGACTCACCAAATCCTCATCCCGTTCAACTTTGCCACAGTACTTCCGCCGGACATCCCACTTGCTGTCCTGTTCCATCTGCAGCCCTTTGACGGCACCGAAGATCCTGTAGCACAAGTTGGCATTATCCTTCAGCTTTTGGCTGGCCTTGATCAAGCCTTCGCAGAAGAGGTGCACCTCTATGTCGAGAATGTTCCGCTGCAGATCGCGAATCCAGTTGGCAATTTCCGAAAACTACTGATATGAGGTATTGATTATTGTTCGAAAACTTCCTTTTTGGACACCTGAGTGCACTTACTCGATCCAGATCCTCCAGGATCTGCTCCTGGTTGTGTAGAGTTATGAACTCATGCTCCTGGACGAACTTGTATTCGAAATCTTTGAATTCGCTTTTCTAAAATAAAACTTTTAACTCTTAAAGACAATGCTCCTACTAAACCGGGTTTGCCCACCTCAAGCAACTCTTCCAATCGATCCTTTGTCATCTCTTAGAATTTAATAACATTCACGTTACATCATGGCAAGTTCTATATCAACCTCTGGAGAACCTAGGTCGAACCACTATATTCGTGCACTCATCGCAACACACTGACCAGCTAAGATCGGAACGCGGCGCTACACTTGTGGCATGTTTTGCACAATTTTCTAATTGATGATAATAGATTACGATCATATCGCGGGAGGCAGTTATGAGTGCTTGTAGCGCAGATCAACTCTTGTTTTAGAAGTAGGTCACGCTCTGAACATTTTCTACTGGATTGCAAAGCAACGGTTGCCTAATTGCAGGCGGAATTTCTCTCAATTTCAATAAATATTCTTATAGCAAAGTTTCAACACTAAACTGAACACTTTCACGTTTTGGTACCTAGCCTAGTCTAAAACAGTCTAATGAACCAACTTAAAATATAATCATAAGTAGTACAAGTACGGCCAATATTATGATCACCCACATAAGGAGCCAGGTTTTCTTCTTCAGCGCTTTCAGTTTGTACTCCCGGGCCTTCTCCAGCTGATGAGCCCCATGGTCCGCATTGAGCGAAGCCTGCTGGGCGTGGTATTCGATCACCTGTACCAGACTACCTTGCTCCATGACCAAGGTAGATATCCTCACGAAAAGGTCCCGAATCTCAATGAGCGACTTTTCTAACTCGGCCAACTGCGAGTGCCGGGCCATAATGTCCCGAAGCTTCTGCCGCTCCCGTTCCGTCTCTTCCAGGATCTGTCGGAACAAAAGTTTGAACAATAGAAGAAAATTTCGCCAACGAACAAACTCACATTTCCCACGAAAGGAGAGGTCTGATTACTGGTCAACATTTCCGCCGCTTCATCATCCGTGATGTTGTAGCTCACTGCAATTGGATATTATTCGCAACATAACCTCATGCCGACCCCAAATAGTGACTAACTTGCTTTCGCTTCCTTCTTCATCAGATTTATGATCTTATTCTCGTAATAGGTGACAAACTCCTCGTGCTCCCGATAGGCATTCAGGTAGTCGTCCTTGATAACCAGGAACTGGGTGTGCTTGATCCGGAACAGGACACTCCCCCGGCGTTCATCCTCGGCCAGTTCCTCCTGCAGCTGCTTGATGGCGGTATAGATCTGCTTGCACAGACCCAGGCTTTGGTCCATCGTTTTCTCGACCTTCTCCCGGATGGCTGAAACGATAAATTGGGATTATAGGATTCACTTGAAAACGTAAGAATTCGAATTCAGTAGATCAAGGCCCATTACCTTTGTCATTGTAGTGGAAGGAAGGTGTCGAGATGGCGCTGCGCATCTCCTCGATGTTGGCCCGTATCGTGCGAATCCATTCTGTCAGTTCTGTAAACTGGAAATAGTTTTGAAATGATTGCTTGGGAACCTTCTGGAAATTCCGTTCTAAGACAATCCAGAAATGTCGCGAATTTCACAGAAAATCCAAAAAGTTAAAAAAAAAAAACTCCGAGATATTCCGAAAACTTCTCAGATATTCTGAGAACGTTCCAGAAATCTCTGAAACTTTAAAAAGTTTTCGGAATTATTGAAACTTGGGAGACAGTCCTGGGATTTATGAGAAGTTCTAGGATCTTCTAGGAGATTTTCGGGATTTTTAAAAGTGTCATGGAAATTCTGGGAAGTTTTCGCAATTTCTGAAAAGAACTCTGATCTTGTCTGAAGTTCTCGGAATATATAATAGCTCGGAAGATCTCAGCAAAATGTGGAAAGTTCTCGGAATTTCCAAGTATCTGGGAAGTTCTCGCATCTTCTGGGAAGATTTTGAAATTTCTGAGCCGTTCTAGGAATTATTGTAAGGTTCTATGAGCTTCTGTGAAGTTCTTGGGATTTTTAGAAAAGTTGCAGATCTTCTGCGAAGTTATCAGAATTTCTGGATAGTTCTCTGAAGTTCTGAGAGGATCATGGGATTATTGTAAAATTTTCCAAAAAGTTCTCGGAAGGAACTTCTGGATAGCTCACAGAAATTGTGAGTATTTCCCGGATGTTTTTCGAAGTGCACGCATCTTGTAAGAATTTGTTGTAAATTCTGGGAAGTTGTAGGAAATTCTGGGTGGTTATCGAAATTTTTGGGAAGTCCTCAGAATGTCTCGTAAGTTCTCAGATCTTCTGGGAAATTCTAAAATCTTCTAAGAGGTTTTCGGAATTTCTGGAGAACTTTCTGAAATTCTGAAAAACTCTCAGAACTGATGGGAAGTTTTAGAAATTTTTGGGAAGTGCTCGCATCTTCTGGGGAAGTTCACGGAAACTCTGGGAAGTTCTCGGAATTTCTACGAAGTTTTTGAATTTTCTGGAAATTTTATGGAACTTCTGGAATGCTCTCGGAGTTTTTCAGAATTTGCTGGGAACTTCTGGGAAGTTCTCACATATTCTGGGAAGATTTTGAAATTTCTGAGACGTTCTTTGAATTGTTGTAAAGTTCTATGAACTTCTGTGAAGTTCATGGGATTTTAATAAAACTTGCAGCTCTTCTGCGAAGTTCTCAGAATTTCTGGATGGTTCTCTGACATTCTGAGAGGTTCATGGGATTTCTGTTAAAATTTGCCAATCGTCTGGAAAGTTTTCGGATTTTTTGGAAAGTTCTCGGAAATTCTGGGAAATTCTAGAATCTTCTGACCAGATCTCGGAAAAAATTGTGAGTATTTCCCGGATGTTCTTCGAAGTGCACGCATCTTGTAAGAATTTGTTGTAAATTCTGGGAAGTTGTAGGAAATTCTGGGCAGTTATCGAAATTTTTGGGAAGTCCTCAGAATGTTTAGTAAATTCTCGGATCTTCTGGGAAATTCGCAAATCTTCTAATAGGTTTTCGGAATTTCTGGAGAGCTTTCTGAAATTCTGAAAAGCTCTCAGAACTGATGGGACGTTTTAGAAATTTTTGGGAAGTTCTCGCATCTTCTGGGGAAGTTCAGGGAAACTCTGGGAAGTTCTCGGAATTTCTGTGAAGTTCTTGAATTTTCTGGAAATTTTATGGAACTTCTGAAATGCTCTCGGAGTTTTTCAGAATTTGCTGGGAACTTCTGGGAAGTTCTCGCATATTCTGGGAAGATTTTGAAATTTCTGAGACGTTCTTTGAGTTGTTGTGAAGTTCTTGGGATTTTTATAAAATTTACAGCTCTTCTGTGAAGTTCTCAGAATTTCTGAATAGTTCTCTGCAATTCTGAAAGGTTCATGGGATTTCTGTTAAAATTTGCCAATCGTCTGAAAAGTTCTCGGAATTTTTGGAAAGTTCTCGGAAATTCTAGGAAATTCTAGAATCTTCTGACCAGTTCTCAGAAGGAACTTCTGGGAAGCTCGGATGTTCTTCGAAGTGCACGCATCTTGTAAGAATTTGTTATAAATTTTGGGCAGTTATCGAAATTTTTGGGAAGTCCTCAGAATGTTTAGTAAATTCTCGGATCTTCTGGGAAATTCGCAAATCTTCTAATAGGTTTTCGGAATTTCTGGAGAGCTTTCTGAAATTCTGAAAAGCTCTCAGAACTGATGGGAAGTTTTAGAAATTTTTGGGAAGTTCTCGCATCTTCTGGGGAAGTTCAGGGAAACTCTGGGAAGTTCTCGGAATTTCTGTGAAGTTCTTGAATTTTCTGGAAATTTTATGGAACTTCTGAAATGCTCTCGGAGTTTTTCAGAATTTGCTGGGAACTTCTGGGAAGTTCTCGCATATTCTGGGAAGATTTTGAAATTTCTGAGACGTTCTTTGAGTTGTTGTGAAGTTCTTGGGATTTTTATAAAATTTACAGCTCTTCTGTGAAGTTCTCAGAATTTCTGAATAGTTCTCTGAAATTCTGAAAGGTTCATGGGATTTCTGTTAAAATTTGCCAATCGTCTGAAAAGTTCTCGGAATTTTTGGAAAGTTCTCGGAAATTCTGGGAAATTCTAGAATCTTCTGACCAGTTCTCGGAAGGAACTTCTGGGAAGCTCGGATGTTCTTCGAAGTGCACGCATCTTGTAAGAATTTGTTATAAATTTTGGGCAGTTATCGAAATTTTTGGGAAGTCCTCAGAATGTTTAGTAAATTCTCGGATCTTCTGGGAAATTCGCAAATCTTCTAATAGGTTTTCGGAATTTCTGGAGAGCTTTCTGAAATTCTGAAAAGCTCTCAGAACTGATGGGAAGTTTTAGAAATTTTTGGGAAGTTCTCGCATCTTCTGGGGAAGTTCAGGGAAACTCTGGGAAGTTCTCGGAATTTCTGTGAAGTTCTTGAATTTTCTGGAAATTTTATGGAACTTCTGAAATGCTCTCGGAGTTTTTCAGAATTTGCTGGGAACTTCTGGGAAGTTCTCGCATATTCTGGGAAGATTTTGAAATTTCTGAGACGTTCTTTGAATTGTTGTAAAGTTCTATGGACTTCTGGGAAGTTCATGGGATTTTTATAAAATTTTCCAATCATCTGGAAAGTTCTCGGAATTTCTGGGAAATTCAAGAATCTTCTGACCAGTTCTCGGAAGGAACTTCCGGGAAGCTCACAGAAATTGTGAGTATTTCCCGGATGTTCTTCGAAGTGCACGCATCTTGTAAGAATCTGTTGGAAATTCTGGGAAGTTGTTGGAAATTCTGGTCAGTTCTCGGAATTTTTGGGAAGTCCTCAGAATGTCTAGAAAGTTCTCGGATCTTCTGGGAAATTCGCAAATCTTCTAAGAGGTCAGCTCTCAGAACTGATGGGAAGTTTTAGAAATTGTTGGGAAGTGCTCACATGTTCTGGGGAAGTTCACGAAAACTCTGGGAATTTCTTGGAATTTCTGCGAAGTTCTTGAATTTTCTGGAAAGTTTATGGAACTTCTCGAATGCTCTCGGAGTTTTTCGGAATTTGCTGTAAATGCACGGATTTTTTGGGAAGTCCACAGATCTTCTGAGAAATTCTGGAAGTTCTCGATGATTCTGGAAAACTCTCAGAACTTCTACGAAGTACTCGGATCTTCTAGGAATTTTGGAAGTTGTGAGATCTTCTGAGAAATTCTCAGATTTTTCGCAAAAGTCTAGGATTTTTTGGGAAGTTCTCGAATCTGCTAGGAGAATACTTAAACTATTCCAAGATTTTCAGCAAAATTCTGGGATCTCCTTGGCTATTCTTAGATGTTCAGCAAAGTTTGGAGAATTTCTTATTAGGCTTAGAACTATAGGTAAGTGTCGAAAAAATTAGAAATGTTCCATGAGCTTCAGGGATGTTCCTTATATTTGAGAAATGTTATGGAAACTTGTGGTAAGCTACGTGGACTTAAGTGAAAATTTCCGAGAACTTCATGAACGTTCGAGGGATTCTTAAAGTGTTCAAATACGACCAAGTTATTCAAACTTAAAAGAAGTTTTCTAGCGGAATTTGAAAACTTCTGCGAAATTCTGAGAACTTCAAGTTACTTCTTGGAAGGAAATTGCTAATATGCAGTTTCTAAATATTACTGAAGTTCTCGAAACTTTCCTAAATCCTCGCCATAAGCTCCCTGTAATTCTTATACCTTGAAGTGTTCTAAATTACAATGAAATTTCCGGCATTTCTTTGAAATTCTTGCAACTCCCTCGGAAGTTCTCTGAAAATTTCAGAATGACCCTAGAGTTCTTAGGACTCCATTTAAGATCTCGCTTTACTCTGATTCTGTTCTGATAAGCTCTTAAAGCTTCCGAGATGTTCCGAGAACCCTCGTAACTTTCCAAGAACTTTCAAGAAGTTCTATGAACTGCCGAATATTTCCGAGCATTTCTGAGATCTTCCGAAATGTTCTGAGGAATTCCGGGAAGTTCCCCGATTTTCGGACCTTCTCAGAAACTGTTGGAGCTTCTCGGAAATTTTCGGAACGCCTCAGAACTTCTCGGAATATTTCGGAATTTCGCAAAACTTTTCTGTAATTTCTCGGCAGTTCATAGATTTTCTCGGAAATTCTGGGAAGTTCTCAAAACATCGATGAAATTCTCAGAACTCCTCGGAAGTTCTTGGAAATTTTCAAACTTTCGAAAAGCTCCAAGGACTTCTGAGAAGTTCCGAGAACCTCTGAGAAGTTCCGTGATATTCTGAAAAATTCCGAAATGATGCAAGAACTTTAGCCACGTTCCCGGGGAGCTTTAAAAACTTCCGAGGAGTTCTGAAAACTTCTGAGCAGATTTGAGAACTTTAGCGATATTTTAAAAATTTCCCAGAATTTCCGAGAAGTTTTATGAACAGCCGAGAAGTTCCAAAAAGTTTTGAGAACTTCCGAAATATTCAGAGAACTTCTGAGGTGTTCTGCGAGAGCTTCAGCGATAATCTGAGAACTTCTGATAATTTCCGATAACTTCTGAAAAATCTCTGAGAATTAGAATATATCCACGTAAGTACGGGTATTTCACGTTTCCGGAAAAGCTAAAACACGTCGGGCTGGTTCCACCAAGGGGAAGGAGGTTTCCTACGGAAAGACGTTCCTGGAACCGGCCGAGTTTGAGCTTGAAGCGCGCTGTCCAAGATCAGATTGGAGAGGAAGTTATATTCCTCCAACGGTGGAAGCTCTTCTACCGACGTTAGGGCATCTTCTATCACATTCTTGAACTTTGTCCAATCGATATTACGGGTAAGATCGTACGCGACGTTAACGGGTTCAGACGGATTGAACCCACTGGCAACTGAAACTTTGATCGGTAAGTGATCACTACCGTGGGAATCTTGGATCACATTCCACGTGCAATCCAACGATAATGAGTTAGAGCAAAGTGTGAGGTCTAATCTACTTCCATTCGAGGATGGGCCAGCCAAACGTGTTGCTTCTCCATTGTTAAGAATTGTCATATTGAAGCTTTCGCTGAGGTCATATATCAAAGTAGAACGGTTGTCATCATACCCCCCCCCCCCCCCCAGCCTGTACCGTGGGAATTAAAATTTCCCATAATCAACCGTGGCGCAGGAAGCACCGAACATATATCTGAAAGTTTTTTTCGATTAACAACGACTCTAGGAGGAATATAAACAGAAGCAATACAAAGGCTCTTACCTTTAATAATAGCCTGACATGCGACAACTTCAATACCTGGAAATTGTGGAAGATTCACTCTATAGCAGGAATGGCACTTTTTGATCCCCAAAAGTACCCCTCCTCCACGCGAATCCTCACGATCCAGTCGAATAATGTTAAAATCATAAAAAGGAAGCTTGATATCTAAAAACAGCCAAGTTTCACAAAGAACAAATCGACAGTGAGCATGCATAAGGGCCTATACGCGATGATCGATTCTCTTCATCGATTTTCTCTTTTGTTAATAACTCGCTAGATTTAACGTTTCTCGGTACGTTTGCTATTGCTTTTGATAGCTAATACAACCTGTTACAACTCTGCATTGAACAAATTCTAGAAAGTTGTTTCGCTTAGCTGTAGCAATGCAAAGAGAAATTCGATGAAGAGAATCGATCATCGCGTATACGCCCTTATGAATGCTCACTGTCGAAATGAACACAACAATGTAGGTATGCATTTTTCATGCAAGCTGCAATCAACTTTCGCTTTCAAATCGCTTAAAATTTCAGCAGAGCCTGCTGCGACGCGTTGTTTATGACCTATCTACTTACCTTTTCAAGATTGCAGAAAATTTCCTCCTGCGATTTCGAGGGTACAAAATCCAGATTGACATCGCTGTTGTATTTACGTTTCTAAAACAAACAAACAAAACACAACCCGAATTAAAACCACCTTGTCACTCACTATGATTCATGGCGATTATGTGGAAACTACAACTTCAAGCATTCTATCCAATCAGCGTGATTTCCAGCATCTTGTAGTGTAACAGTATGAAACCGCAAAGTCCGTTCGCCTTGGTCTGCATTTATCACTTGTAACTCCAGCAGCAGTGAATCAGACCTAATCAGACGAGTTCCAGTCCAGTTTGTACTGCTCTCTGCCCCAGTCGGCGCATATAAGTCAGTCCAAGCCGCTGAACTGAACTGAATGTAATTGACACTAATTGGTCTGGCAAACGTAATCCGCGCCTCGAGGCACATTTGTGCCGTTCTTTTGCACAGGTTGATAGCCAGTTCACTACCAGAGGGGATTTCGAATAATTTGAATCGCAAATCACTGCAAAGCTGTCGGCGTCGCGTCGTCCGGAACGAAAGGAAAAGCCCACTACAATCACTTACACTTTTCAACTCGCCCAAACGATCCTTCACCATGGTCATTCCCTACGAATTACAAGTGTCGTTGCAAGCCGTATGGTTCAATGTTTCCTATTCTATCGCCGTTTTCTAATTACGTTGAGGCATCGTAAGGTCAGGTCCCTCCCTGGTCCCTCCCAGTGACGTCGACCGCGCGAGATAGTGTACGGTGTAGTGACACAATCTTATCAATCAGTTCGCGATAAAAACGATTAATAAGCGAGCGCACATTACGGGACCATATGTGAGCAAGCGAGCGGTCCGGGGTTTGAACAAATACTGCCGCCGTTCGTTGCTTTGCTATACCGCGAGAGAGCGCGCGATCAAATTTTAGGTACCAGCAAGAGACTAACACTTTCCGCGGGACTCACTGCGACTGCGACACGACCGGTGAGTTGTAAATGGGGTTATGTTCATACGACCGGGCTGCGACTTTAATCGGAGTTTAAACAGACGGCGATAGGGATGAACTACCGAAATCACGTTTAGTCTAATTGTTCATTCTTGGATTCCAAATCGCCTTCGAATCACAATATCTGTACGGTGTTTGTAAATCGAATCAATCGAATGCAATACCCGTGCAAGCAGAACAGTAAAACCGTGTAGGAAGAGATATGATTCTCTCGTCGTTGTCTATCTCACTCGACGCATCGCTCGTGGTGGTGATAAGTCGTCTAATGCATACTTCTACTATGCGCAAATGATAACAGTGATAACGCGATCATTGTGTGTAGATTCCGTCGATTGCGTGAATATTTTTGTGTAGGTGGCAAGACAAGTCAGGAGCTGCTCGAAATAATGCAATTGAACGAAAATTCCACGCGAATGATGATTCAGCCGTAATTCAGCATCACGAAAGTGTGCAACACCCAACCCGATAAGGGCATCTCGGTCCAAGAGTCAGCCCGTTTTGCATCATTCCAAATCAATTAACTTTCATTAAGATGCTGGGATGCTGTGTCATGAGAGGCACAGTACGCCTGTACCTAAGTAATACTGTGCGCGAGCACAGAAGAGGATGCTAATCGATATACATTTATTTGGGTAGCATGGAAAAAAACACAGCCCACGAAGGTTGATTCAATGATGTACAGTCACGATTTCAACAATGCGGTTAACTATGCGTTAGTATTTTTCTCAGAAATAGGCACTCTAAATCAGTTCAACTTATTTAAGTTTATAAACTTAGTTCGAGCGTAGGTAAAATTTGTGACCATAAACTTCGGCAGACCTCTTCATTAGGAGGGTTGCTTATATCTTAGGCGCTATGGAAAGACGTATTGATTTAAGTGAGACAGATAGTGGACGTGGCGCTGTTTGCGAATTAAAAGTTCAAAATACTGCAAAACATATTTGATCCTAAGATTGAAACCACCTATGCTTCACAAGATTAGTAATCATCTTTACAATATTTAAAGTTAAATTGAATCCTGAAGACGCTTAAAATGCTCATTAATTGACATAAAACGTTCAAATTAGTAAAAATCAACCAAGGTCGTTTGAAGTGATTATCACATACATTGAACACGCCTTATTATTAAGGCATTTGAGTTTGAGAGCAATCGGCAAAACAAAAATTATACAGAAAATTGATAAACATTTTATTTAAAAAAAAAATCTGCTATTTGGGTCAACCTATGCTAGATTACTGATTATTTCATAAATTTACAAGAAGTAAAAATAAGAGAGCATTGTACATTGTTGAGTGTAGCAACGCATCCACAACGTTGTCATCCTACAAGAGAAAATAAAACCTTTTCATACATTTACCACAACAATATTTTTATAATATTTTTAACAAACTTAACTCTGTACGAAAGGCGAAATAAAGTAGTAGGTAGTCATTTGTCTCACACACAAGAGACCAGACGCGTTTTCTTTCATTCCACGTGGAGGAACATTTTCATTTACAGTCCATTATATCTCCCGAGTTCGATCATAGATATCCATTGGATCTAGGTTAGGTTAGGTTAGGACTTTCAGCCAGAGGCTGGTTCATCTCTTAACATTGGATCAATGTTTTCACCCCTCAGGAAGTATTTGGTGAGCCAATAAAATAAAACCGAAAAATTAATAAATTTTATATAACTTGAAGGTAAAGGGCGAACACGAAATTATTGCGACACATTCAACAGGGCATAACTTTTTTACCATTGGGTAAAAATCAACCAAATTTTGCACACTTTCTCATTGATGTGTATTGTGTACATGCTGTCAAACTCGAAGTCGTGTTTTTCGATTCAACGAAAATGGAGGTGAACCAACGCGAGTTGAGAGAACAAATTCTTTCCAAACACCTGGAATTTCCTGACCTGTCGCACCGGCAGTTGGGAAAAATGTTGAACATTCACCATTCAACCATCTCCAGAGTGTTGAAGCGGTTCCAGGAGCGGTTGACGTTGAACCACGGCAAAGGAGCTGGAAGAAAACCGGGACCGGAGAACAAAAAGACGGAGGGAAAGGTGAAGCGGATGATTAAAGCAAATCCCAACGTCTCAAGCCGTGATTTGGCTAAAAAGATCGGCATGTCGCAGAGCTACGTCCAAAATGCAAAGTAGAGAGCTGGACTACATACATACAAGGTACAGAACTTCCCAAACCACGATGAGTAGCAACAATCGACGGCTAAAACTCGGGCACGGAAGCTCTACGAGAAGATGCTGACAAAATATGGCTGCTGTGTGATGGACGACGAAACGTATATAAAAGCCGATTTTAAGCAAAATCCGGGGTTGGAGTTTTTCACCGGCAAGAGCAAGTTCGATGTGGACGACAAATTTAAGAAGAAGAAAATGTCGAAGTTCGCCTCCAAATATCTCATTTGGCTGGCCATCTGCTCTTACGGACTGAGGAGTGAGCCTTTCGTGACAAAGGGCACAGTAAATGGCGAGATCTACAAATCTGAGTGCCTCGAGAAGCGCCTTTTGCCGTTCTTGCAGCAGCACGAAGAAGCTCCGCTATTTTGGCCAGAATTGGCATCATGCCACTATTCTAAAAGTGTCCTGGAGTGTTATGAGGCCAATTCTGTCCATTTTGTTGCAAAGGAGCTGCGTCCGGTGGAGCAGTACTGGACAATAATGAAGCGGGAACTCCGGAAGAGCAAGAAGACAGTCAAAGACGAGAAGGACATTGTAGTAGATCGCCCAAATCTACTACAGACATGTTAAGAAAATGGAAAAAAAAACTGAGAAACTGGTACCGGATGACACTGTAAAGACTTTGATGGAGGGCATCAAGCGAAAATGCGTTCAATTTTACACTCAAGGCTCCATCGATTAACTTTTCTTTTGATTTTTGAAGTAAATATATGTATAAAACTACCCTAAAATTTTGGTTTGATTCTAATCATTATAAGAAAATTGGCATGACATTTTCGGTGTCGCAATAATTTCGTGTTCGCCCTTTATACAAAAACATAACCGTTACCATTATTTATTAGCAAAAGATCCAATCTAATATTTCTCAACTGTGATTTGTGGAATTCAGAGATAAAATTCAGGGGAATAGGATCAAGGAAAGATTTGGAAAGAAACTCTGAGGAAAATATCCAGGGAAAGGGAATTCTGAAAATGATTTTAAGAGTATTTGAACATGAACATGATTTTCAAGAAAAATCTGACGTTAAATTTAAAGAAACTCTGGAGTAGATACCAAGCTATGTTGAGAAATTTAATAACATGCTTGGAAAATAACTCAGAGAAATTTTAGTATTTTTTTTTTCAAGAATACAAATGTCTTGCTAAGAAAGAATTGATAGAGAATTGTAGAGTGATTTTCAAAACGGTTATAGATAAGTGCCTGCTACAAAGAAATCCAACAGGGTTGTTCAAATTTCAAAGGTACACTAATGAAAAATGCTAATGCTATGAGAAGTTTCAAGAAAATCTCTAAATGAATGCTTGTGACTATGGCATGACCAAACACTCACGGGTAACTAAGTCAGTAGCATGAGACCCCTGTGTCGCAGGGCCGGCATGTTACTGGGTATTCGGAGGGGCTACGCGGACACGGTATGAAAACACAGAAACTTTCACATTTTCTAAAACATTTATTGCCCTTTTCTGTGGTGTGTGGGTGTGGGTTTTACATATATGTGGCGGGTGTGCGAGGGATTAAAATTGGCACTATACTCTGGCGTTGGCTCACACGGCTGCTCCTGCACTACCGTGTAGTCGGAAACTTGCGGCGCGGGCTGCAAACAGCGTTTCGTTGCTGAATTGGGAGAATGGCGGATCTGGTGGCGTTCATCAGCCACATACGGCTCAGCAGGCGTTGCTGGCTCGTTTGGCTGGCAGGTGTCTTCCGTCGTTGACGACATCACACAGTGCACACTGGGGACAAAATCGAAACAATGTGTTAAAATTCAATAACTTCGGTGCTCGCTGGAACAAGAGACTAAAAAATAGTCATTCTTATAGAAAAAAAGTCTCAGGAATCGATAGGGCACGATAGGGTAAGTTGGGGTTTTTCACAGTTTTGTCCTAAAATCTCCTATTTTGTATGATTTGAATGCTGTATCTCAAGATACCGTTGATATAGACGGATGATTTCTTGGGCAAAGTTGATCAGGAGGTCAAGGACTGTTGGATGATGGACAGAGCAATTCGGAATTCCTCCGCTAGGTGGTGCTAGTGAGCATTCGAAGTGAATATGTATCTCAAGATCCTGACTATTTAGACGGATGATTTCTTCGGCAAAGTTGATCAGGGGGTCAAGGATTGTTGGATGATGGACAGAACAATTCTGAATTCCTCCGCTAGGTGGCACTAGTGAGCATTCCAAGTGAATATGTTTGCGCTGCTGTATCTCAAGATCCTGACTATTTAGACGGATGATTTCTTCGGTAAAGTTGATCAGGAGGTCAAGGATTGTTGGATGATGGACAGAACAATTCAGAATTTCTCCGTTAGGTGGCGCTAGTGATTATTGAAAGTGAATTTATTAGTGCTGCTGTATCTCAAGATCCTGACTATTTATACGGATGATTTCTTCGGCAAAGTTGATCAGGAGGTCAAGGACTGTTGGATGATGGACATAACAATTCGGAATTCCTCCGCCACCTTCGCGCGTTCTGGCAAGTTTACTGCAACTTGCCCACACGAAACAAATGGTGCGTAAACGTACCAATTATTCAGCAGCGGGCCCTTCAAAGAAGGTGCTAATCAAGCCCAACGCTTCGCAGGATGACGCCGGAAAACGGGTACTGCAAGCCAACCAGTATGGAGT